GTAGGTGAGTCCATGTGTGGGTTCTTTAAAAGGAACTGCTTGGGGCTCCAAAACTTTATTCCACTGACTAAATCCTCACTAGTTTTGCAGCCAGAGGTTGTGGGGACTTATCTTACTGGTACTGGAATTCTGGGCTGGGGAGCCTTGTGTGGGGCTAAGATCTTTGCTCACAAAATATCTTTTCTGAATTTTTGTCTACCACATGTGGGTGAGGGACCAGCCCATTCTACATCTTCACCCCTCCTACCAGTCTGGGCGGATGTGGTTTCTTTAATTCTGTAGTTGTCAGTCTTCCATTAAACCTGATTTCTGATGGTTCTGAGTGATGGTTATTCTATGTTTTAGTTGTAATTTTGATATGGTTGTGCAAAGAGGCAAGCTATTGCCTGCCTATGATGCCATCTTGACCAGAAGTCCAATTCAGTGGATTTTTATTTTATTTACACAATTGTACAACTTTCATCTCTATGTAATTTAAAACATTTTCATTGGCCCCCAAAAGACCCCACATCTATCGATTCTATTGAATGAATGAGTCATTCATTCTCTCTCATTTGCACCCCTGGCAAGCACTCACCTACTTTCTAACTCTCTGGAATAGTTTTGAGCTATGTGAACACTAGCATTATCACTGGATTGATGATACATGTATGTATATATAGGTATATATGCATATGTATGTATATATGTAAGTATACATACATATGCATATTCTCTGCACACACACAAACACACAGGCATGCACGTACATATATGTACATATGTGTGAATGTATAAAGACATCGTATGAGAGTCACTCTTTCAGACTGAAAAAATATAGACACACATAGGTATTCACATGCCTTCAGATGTTAGAGATAACATCAGATCCCATGGGTTAAGGACACAGTTGTGTAAAACTGACACCTCCACCTCCAAACACACAGGCACACTTCAGATGCCATTTCAAAGTCCAGGTTGTCACCTGGGCTTCTGAGTGGCCAATCGATCAATCACTCAGAAGTTCCAACAAACACTCCCTGAATCTCCACAGTTGATCACACTGGAAGCTCTGTGCATCACCTCTCTTTTCTGGAGGCTTCATTATATAAGCACAACTGACTAAATCATTGGCCTGTTGGTGACTGGGATCAATCTCCAACCCCTTTCCTTTCTCTGAGGTCAGGGGTGTTCCAACCTTTTAATCACTTGGTTGGTTCTCCTGGAAACCAGCTCTCCTCAGTGCTTTCCAAAACCCCTTCATTAACATAAACTCAGGTGTGGTTGGAAGGGGTTTCTTATGAATATTCATATATCTTTCATATTCTTATCAATTAGGAAATTTCAAGGTTTTTAGGAGCTCTGAACCAGAAACAGAACAAAGAGTGAATATGTATTTATTATTGTAAATCGTAATATCACAGCCTGCCTGAATCTGAATCTCTGGCAAGTCACTTAAAAGCTTTGCTCCTGAGTTTCTTGGATTGTAATAGAGCCCACACTATAGGATTGTGTTACCAACTAAAGGAGTTTGTCTGCCTGCATGCATCAAAGCCCAATCAAACAGGAACACAAGTTTGCAGCCAAGATAATAAAGGTTTATTAACAGCATGTTACCATGCCTGGAGTCACAGATGAGCTTATACCTAAAACCCTGGGTCCCACACATGGACAGATTATATGTGGGAGAGATTCCTAATCATGGTGATTCAGGGAGTTGGGGCTGGGAGCTCTTCTGATTGTTGAGGCCAGGATACGGAGCAGTTGATTATTGTATCAGGTCCAGATGTCAACCATGGTGTTGTTCTGTCTAGTTTCATGAGGGTGTGGTTGGAAGGATTACTGTTTGTTTAGAAGGGTCATTCTCTTTTCCTGGGCCTGGGGATGAAACACAATTGAGGTCAAGATGTTATCTTTAGTTTGAACCAAACTCTGTTTTTGTCATCAGCAGACCTAAGGCTTTGTTGTTAAAACATTTTGATGCTGACCAGAATCTGATGTCCTCAGAGCTTCATGAATAAGGAAGGGAGTGGACCGGGCAGAAAGCAGAAAGGGTGATGTTTGAAGAAGTGGAGTTTCTGTGAAGTTAGAATTGATAGCAAGGTTAGATAAACAGGTATGTAGAGAACAACAGCTGACAAGCAGTGTTCTTAGGTGTTAGTTGCTATTACTGAGGATTTAATGCATCTCTACTGACTCAATTTTTGATCACTTTTTGAAAGTAACTGACTATTGGCTCCGAGAGGGGTTTACATATTAGAGCAACTCTGCTTAACCTGAATGAGCTGCAGTTTACTCCTCTCTCCACCTCATAGGTTCTATTGCCTCATGGTTCTTGCTTTGCTATCATTTCTGTGGTTTTCTCTGGGCTTTCTCATCACTCCAGCAACCACCAATTCTTATTTTCTATGACCTGTGACAGAAAATCTGACAGATTTGACAAGACCTAATAGAATAGAGAGCATCTGTGTTGAGAACAATGTCAACCTTGGTTCTGAATCAGCCTTACTAGCAGGGCCAGACAGCACGGAGCCTGGCTAGGCATGCACACACAGAGGTATGAGCTTAGTGACACTGGTGGCTTCTTAAAAAAGGGCGGTATAAGTATAACTTTCAGGTGTTTGCATGGACTATCCAACATACTGTCGTGACATGAAGAGATAGTTGCCATATTAAGTGAGAGAAGTAGAATACAAATGTATACAATGCAATTTAAATGATGGGGAAAAGAAGAAAATATATTACAAAAACATATTTTGATTTAGGCAGTGAATCAATGCTATTTTTCCTTTCCAGCCTTTTGTGAAGTTCTCCCTAATGTGCAGGCAGATGCTCCTTTATACAATGTAGTTTATAGTTTATAAAGTCTAAATAAAAATATTTAAAATATTTTATCATTTCTTTATTTTTAAACTATGCATAAGAAAAGCAGAGTGTTAGTAATTACCTTGATAATTTAGTTTGGGGATTTTATAGTTGTGAAAGGGAAAAGCATTTCAGGTCAGATTTTTTTTTGTCCACTCCTTCCCTTCTTTGCCTAATTGTCACAATTTTTTTCCCCTCACAATCCTTATCTTTATGAACATGGAGACCACGTAAAGTCCCTGGTTCACACTGCTTGTTCTGGATGTGCTGACTCTTCAAATAGAGTTTTAAAAAATCTATTTACTGGAGAAATCTATGACATATGGTTCTCAGTTTATTTCCCAGCTGTTTTCTGTTAACCTTGACTCTGGCATTCTCCCCCCCCCCCAAATAATTTATATTAAGGCAGGATGCAGGACAGTGGGGAGCTGTACTTTACATGCGAGGATGTTGAGGCACAGAGCATGAAAAGGGAACAGGACCATTTCAGCAAATTACAGAAGGTGACTGTTTATAATTTCCCGTTCCTTCTCACTCTTCCCATACTTCTCCTCCTCTTTTTCTTCTATTGCCTTTATAAAACTTTCACATACACTCTGCTTTGCCTCCATCTGAATGACTTGTGTTACTGAAGTAATTCTAAACCTCTGTGGGCAAAAAAGGCACCCCTTTTAAAGTCACAGGAAGCAATTAATTAAAAACAGCAGGCTCTTACCTGATGTCTTCAGGATGACTTTTAATTATACTAAATGCCCTACTTTTCCTAATGAGGATGTTCTGTAAACTTGCACATGGTTTTCCCACACTGCTCTTGCAGACAAATCCTGTGTCCAGCAGTACTGTTGCTGCCTGCCAGACCAAATCCTTTCTCTATGACAAAGCCTGCCATTGTGTCCCCTATGCAGCCCCACTGATCTTTCCCAAAGGGCCTTTTAGAACATGTGCACACTTATTTCCATTCGCTGATGTGCTGGACGCGATAATAGCCAGAGAACCATGGTAACTTGCTTGGATTCAACGCTGTGTAGTGTTCTCTGAAAGCCATATGTGGCAGCTGGACTCATGTGTGAGTGTGTGTGTGTGTGTGTGGTTGGGGGAGGGCTGTGTCTGGTGCTTTTGTTGGAGCGTGAGGGAGGAATAAAGAGCTTGAAGAAGTGACAAGGTGTCAGTGTCCTCCCGACTCAGCTGTTCAGGGGCCTAATCCCAGTCCACAACTGGATGTCCAAGGATTAAAGAAAAATGTTCCTCCTGGCTAATTTCCAACTGTTCCCAAATGCACTTGAGAAAGTTCCATGTGATTTTTTTTTCATGTAGCACCTGCTGTAACAATCCCAAAGCAACTTTTTTCTTCTCCATTATACTCTACATCTGTTATTTTGCTGACATGGAAGCTAGCATAACAATTAGGTTCATTACTTGCCCAATAAATTGATTCCAGCTAAGTTTAAAGACCTTAGTGTATTCTTTGAGTATTTATCCAATGAAAGAACAAATTAAGAAATCTTGCCCAAAAAGGCTTTTTTGAGGGGTTAGACCAGCGACATGTCATTCATTTCAGGGTAGTGATGCAATAAAATTAGAAAGCCTTAATGCTGGGTAAGACAATGAGGGGCTATCTTAACCAAATTTTGGGAAGCAACTTTAAAAAATACTAAAATTTCTGTCAGCAGAACAATTTTAACAAATGAAGAACTTAGTGGGGTAACAGTTGCTGTTTTTCTCCCCATTTCTTCCCAATCACAAAAATAAATAAGTTCCTCTCTAGAGCTACATTTTCTTAGAATTAAAAAAAAAAAGTCTGCTGTCCTTGGGTAGGGTGGGCGTGGGTGATCCATGCTGAAGCACACATTTGGTTTTAAAGCTCTAGACCCTGTTTTTGAGGCTGTGCAGTATCCAGTTTCAGCAAACAGAACATCTTCTAAGAGAAAGAGAACAATTCAGCTGGTTAGAGGGGAGCTCTGGCTGGAGGCGCTGAGCCCCGAGAAGGGATGCTGGTAGTAGAGATGAAGAAAGCTCTTATTCTTCAGTGGGAAACTTACACTGACACACTATGTACACCCACCCACACAGTCAGTTCATATAGTGCAGACTCTAACTTAAATATGATTTCTGTTATAAAAGTTTGCTTCAAAGTTCTCTCTCTCTTTCTTTTTTAGATGGGCAAAGGAAGGGAGAAAGAGAGGAAGAGAAATACTGATTTGCTAGAGGTATTGGATCAGTTCATACGTCCGCCACTGGGGACCTGCCCTGCAACCCAGGCATGTACCCTTACTGGGAATTGAATCAGGGACTTTTTGGCTCACAGGCCAGTGCTCAACCCACTGAACCACACCAGCCAGGGCCACAGTTGTTTTTTTTCCAAAAAAAAAAAAACCAACTGATGATGCTGTTTTTGTATGTATAGAAATATTGCTTGCAGCAGTACTGGCCTGGCCAGGCCTGGCCTGGCTGAGGGGAGGCAGTGGGGGCAACAGCAGAGGCCAGGCCATAGGGGTCCCTGCCCCAGGGGACACTGAGCATCATGGAGAAGAGCTTGGAGCTTCTCATTGCCAAGTTTGTGTCACTTCTGCAGGAGGCTGAGGATACCGACCTCAACTATCAGTTGACACCCTAGCTGTGCACCAGAGCTACAGATGTATGACATTTCCAACATGGCGGAAGGTATTAGGCTGATGAAGAAAAAAATCCAAGAATTGCGTCCAGGGGAACAGCATGGGGCCTGGCTGCAATACCTGCGAGATTATGGACAGGCTGACTGAGTTCAAGGCAGCAGTGAGAGCAAGAACTGGACTAGCACAAGGTATGGGCTCAGCAGAATACCCAGAATGTCACAGAGGACAAACATGTAAAACAGCTGCTTGGCCTATATGACTCACGAGGGCGTCTGTAGATGCTTTTCTGGAGACACCCTCCTGGCCATCCAGGCCGTTTGGCACCAGCCTGGAGGTGCCTATCACAGAGGCCTCAATGGGCAGAAGTATCAGATACATTTGAAGAGTATGAGTGGCCCCATTGAGATGCTGCTGGTGAACAAGGAGGCATGGAGCTCGCCACCTGTGGCAATGGCTGTGCCTCCACCTGAAGACCTGCTCCAAAGCTGCCTGCCCTCTTTATTCCCCCACCTCTGCCCAAACCTGTTTTGGCCCTGCCCCAGGATGCCTCACACCCATCAGTCCCCAGGTGACCACTACCACCTGTGTCTCTAGCAGCACTGAAGCCGATGGGATGGCCAGTCCAACAGCTGAGTGCACACAGAGTGGTGGCCCTGGAGCCTCTAGCAAGGACAGCAGTGAGCCCAGTTCACTCCCACTGGGCCGGGCCACTGTAGTCTTCTACCCTGCTGGACAGCAGCAGCAATAGCCACTTATGTGGACCCAACCTTTCTACCTCTCATGAGCCCATCAAGGCTGAGCCCATCAAGTTAGACCCCACAGGTATTCTGGAACTACCCAAAGAGCTGTCAGAAATCTTTGATCCCACAAGACAGTGCATGAACTTGGAGCTGCTGGAGGAGCTGATGGGCTCAGAAGTGTTTGCCCCTTTCTCTGCCTTTCTCCCTCCCCCACCCCTACCTGGAGGCCATGATCACATCTATAATCTGGATGAGAATGAAAGTGTCTGTGCCCTCTTTGGTGTGCCCGTTCTCAACCTCTGACTGATGGGGACGCGTACTGTGTGTCTGGACAACAGACTGTCTAAACCGAGGGCTGCTTGAGGACCTCCCCCCACTCCACCCCTACACAGCTTGAGGGCTACAGACTCCTGGCTTGACCAGGCTTCTCTCACTGTACGGTTCTGGCCACAGCTCCCAATCTTGCAATGACACCTGCATTGTGCTTGGGAGAGCAGGAGAAAGGGGCTCAGCTCCCTCCATGGGGGAGACGAAATATTTGCCCCTTTTTTTCTGGAGCCTTCCCCCACCTGTGCCCTCCCTGAGCCCTCCTGAACACAGGTTCCACTGCCACCCAGTGTCACAGAGTGTGGACCCACATTCACCTCACAGAACAGCTTGTCTCACCCTCACTGCCTTGGTCCTGCCAGCTCCTCCCTCTCCCAGGAAGGAAGCTGGGGTGGAACTAGGCACTTGCCAGTACCACTTCTGGCCCCCTTTACTTCTCCTTACCCCTTGACCCTGCAGCTCCTCTTAGACCTCTCATGTCCACCTTCTGTCTGGCCCTTGGCCTCCACAACCCCTGTGTGGTGGTGGTGGGGGTGCTAATAGAAAAAAGCAGAAGGAAAAACTGATTAGGTAAAAGGAATAGCATTTTATTTTTTTAAAAGATCTTATCCATTTATTTTAGAGAGAAGGGAAGGAAGGGATAAAGAGAGGGAGAGAAACATCAATGCATAAGAGATACACAGAGCAGTTGCCTCTCACACACCCCCAACTGGGAACCTGGACTGCAACTCAGGCATGTGCCCTGACTGGGAATAGAACCAACAAGCTCTTGGTTCACAGGCCGGCACTCAATCCACCGAGCCACATCAACTAGGGCAGGATAGCATTTTATACAAGTGGTCAAAGAAGATGAAATTTGAACAGAGACTTGAAGGCAGTGGAGAAACAAACCATGCAAAGATTTGGAGGAAGGACACTACAAGTGACAGGAACAGAAAGTGCAAAGGCCCAGGCAGGATTGTGCTTGGGGGTGTAAGGCACAACTTGGAGGACAGTGAGGCTTGAGCTGAGTGAGCCAAGGGGAGAGCATTAGAGGACTGAGATGTGAGAGTCTGGGGGATGGGAGTAGGATAGGCATTGAATGTCATTGTGAGAACTTGGGCTTTTGCTTTGACCACAATGGAGAGGTTGCATGGTCTTAAACAGAGAAGTCCCACGATCTGACTTCTGTTTATTTAGGTGCTGGTGACTTGGGCCAAGGTGACAGTGGCAAAGTGGAAAGAAGTGGGCAGAGTTTGGAATACTTTGTGGGGAGAGCCAGCAGTCTTTACCAATGAATTACAAGCAGAGGGTAAAAGAAAAAGAGTCAAAAATAACTTGAAGGTTTTTGGCTTAAGCATCAGGGAGGAAAAGAAAGGAACAAGGGGGAAGCCATAAACCAAAATTGAATTGCAATCTCCAAAGTCGGCCCCCAAACTTTTCAGACACTCAGTAAGAGGTGACAGTTTTTCGGAGGAGTTGCCGACTGTTGTCAGACTCCGCCGTCCATGGAACCGTGGTGCTGCACGCACGTACCCACAGGCATGGAGTCCACAGTTCTAGCAAAGAAGAGCTGAAAAGGCCTTCCAGTGAGGCTGTGCTTATGATGGAGGAGGGCAGGTGCGTTTTGAATTTTCAATTATTTCACACACTGTGGTGTGGATGAAAAAGAGGTTCTGTGGAAAGTGACCCTGGAAGGTGATCTGATCGCAGATTCCTCACTGGGCAGGTCACAGTGGGTAATCATGCCCCAGGCATGTAACTTTGTTACTAAAAGGCTTGTTTCTACCTTAAGCAAGTTGTTTATTGTTTCTGTGCATCGAGGTTCACACACTTTAACAATGCCTCCTTTCAGACCCCTCCATCTAAGGCATGCAAGATCCCACCCCTGACCTGCTTTCTCCTGCCTTCATGTGATTTTCCTTACATTCCCTCCTTTATCTTAATCCATAAAAGAAACTGCAAACTGATCCTTTCCAAAGCATTTATCCCAATCTGTTGAAATATTTCTTCCTAGTATATACTGTTTGGTCAAACAAATATTTATAAAAATTCTCTACAGGTTTGGATGTTCTTACTTTGACAGTGGGTTAACAGCCCATTGAGTTTTATTTATGTAAATTTTATTTTCCAGTGGGGGTAGAGAGAGAGATAAACAAATAAGCAAGTAAATATGTCAGATGTTACATGACTGCTGGAGATCTGTGCTCAGCAAGCCCCGCACACTATAGAATAAGAAAACATTCCTTTTTATTTACTGAATTAATACCTAGACAAGTGCTGCTTAAGAGATACATAATATAAGCTACAAACATGGGCTTCATGTCCATTAAGAAAAAAACAGAGCCCTGGTTGGTGTGGCTCAGTGGACTGAGCGAAGACCTGGGAACCAAAAGGTCATTAGTTCAATTCCTGGTCTGGGCTCGTGCAGGGGTTGATGTCCAGGTCCCTGGTTGGGGGTGTTCAAGAGGCAACCAATCAGTGTATCTTTCACACATTGATGTTTTCCTTTCTTCTTCCCTTCTACTCTCTAAAAAGGTGGCCCCAGGGGCATGTATGGATAGCTACAAAGTTTAGATTTATGATGTTTAGATAGAACTAGACGTTGTACTACATTGTGCCAGCAAAGGTATGGTTCAACTGATGATCACTAGAAAACAGCCAAGTGGAAAAAATTACTGTCTTTTCTCTGAGTTCTCCACTTTTAGAAATTTATCTTTCAAAACTGGGAAGGGTTTCTTTGGGGGTTAAGTGTGTAGGCGATATGTGCGTGTTACGTGCATGTGTGCTCACTTGCAGGTTTGTTTTGCATCTCTGTGTTCTGTGAAAGATGGGTGGCCTCATTGATTAATGTAAGTCATAATGCCATGGAAGTATTGGTAAAATTCCTGGCCACAGGACACAGTAGGCTGGGGCTTCCAGACTGCCACTCCAGTGTGGAGAGACCAGGATAATTATCCACGACAGATAAAAAAGCTAGCACACATTCCTGAAGCATATGGGAATGTATTCCTTCTGACAGAGAATGAGTCTTGGAGCTCTGTAACTACAATCATTAGTTATAAAAAATACTTTGTGGCCAAAACCAAAACTGTTTTAATGCAATGGGCTTGTTGGCCTTAAAAAGAAACAAATTTGTAAAAAAAAAAAGAAGGAAAGAAAGAAAGAAACTTGTAATTATTAGGTTGAGAGGAAAATGCTAAAATACAGAATCCAGAAAAGTGGGTCAAGTAAGTGGAGAGGAAAAACCCAAATGTGGAAAGATACACAGAGAGGGAAGTGAGAAGACATGACACCAAACTTACCATATTTAACTATTTTGTCCAAGATTAACCCAACTTCCCATATGCTGGGGAGCGGCTGCTCCCTAGACTCTGCCCCCCCCATACCCCCTCTCTGCACCCTGCCCCCAGAGAAGGCACAGTGGGCAAGAGGATAAGCGGGAATGTGGACAATTTTCTCATATATTTGACCAACTTAGAAAGCCACTTAGTTATGGCCATCTTTTTAAAACAAATATATCATAGTGAAGCTTACCAGTCTCTGTAATTAGGTAATCCAACTGCCCAGGTGGAAAAAAAAAAGCAAGCATTAGG